AGCCCTCACTGGGCTCCACCACCAGCCCCCCACCCTTTTGAGACAGGTTCTCCCACTGCAGTTCAGGCTAGCCTTGAGCTCACTTTGTACCCCAAGCTGGTCTGGAACTCTCAGTGATCCTCCTGCCTCAGCCTCCCTAGTGCTGGGATTACAGATGTGCACCACTGCAGCTGGCATGGAACTTACTTCCAATGGCCTACTCTCCTCACAAAGCAGGAATCCATGCAGACCTGGGCATTTTGATTATTTATTTGGTCACCCTGCATTCCAGGTATCTGGAATAGCGTGGCTTGGGTTTGGTGCTTGTGAATTTGCTAATGAGTTGAAAGACAGGAGAGTGAGTTTAGGTGGACCAGGCCTTCTCTTACATTGCCGCACGTAACGAGCTCTTGCTCCTCAGCCTGCTGTGAGGCTGGCTGGCCTCCCCGCCCCTGCTGTGGGTCAGCCTCTTGGGCTTCTGGCCTGCACTTCCCCTGATTGCTCTAACACAGTGCTCAGGTCAAACCCACAGAACTGGCTCTGGGGCGTGGGGTTTTGCAAGAGTTCTGGCTCCCTGGGTGATAATAGAAGTCCAGGTTTTGCTTCCTAGCAAGCTTATTCTGGGGTTTCTCATTGGAGCTGTCCCATGTTCCTGCCAGAGGGCTGGTGGCATGCACACTCTAGGCGGGCTGTGGGTCACCTTATTTTTTGTCTCTGTGCCACAGCTGATCTCCCGCCTGCTGCCCACTGAGCTGCCCCCTAGCCCGAGGAGATTTCTCTTTCCTAGAGCCAGTGGAGTTTTCAGTGCCTGAGGAGGGAGACGTATGTGTATTCATGAACACCCACAGTGACTGGAACTGCATTGCCCTTGTTTAGAGCAGGAAGTGCCACCTTGTTCCTTTAGTTTTTTATTATTCTTTGATTTAATTTATTTATTTGAAGGTCTTTTTTTTTTGGGGGGGGGGCAGAACCCGGGATTGAACTCAGGCCCTTGAACTTGCCAGAGAAGTGTTTATTCTACTGGGCCATCTCCCTGGCCCCTATTTGAAGGTCTTAAGGCTGGCAAGATAGTTCAGCGGACTAAGTGCCTGCTTAGGCAAGCGCAGGGACCAGGGTTTGATCCCTGGCACCAGTGCTGCACGGGCCCCACTCCTGGACATGCTGAGCCAGCCACCAAGACTGGGCATGGCAGTGCGTGCCTGTAATCCCAGTGCTGGAAGGCTGAAAACAGGAGGATCACTAGGCGTCCATGCTGTGTAGTGAGACCCTGTAGCAAACACATTAAAAATAAGTAAATAAAAAAAAGAAAAGAAAGTCTTAAGGGCTGGGATATAGCTCAGTGGCATAAGGGCCTGCCTGATAAGCACAAGGTCCCAAGTTTGATCCCTGGTACCACAAAACAAACAAATAAATAAATAAATAAATAAATAAGAGAACGTCTTGGGGCTGGGGAGATGGCTCAGTGGAATAAGCGCTTCCCTGGCGAGTGCAAGGGCCTGAGTTCAATCCCCGGTTCCGCAAAAAAAAAAAAAAAAAAAGAGAGAGAGAGAGAGAGAGACTGTTTTAGGCTGAGGCAGGAGGATCATTACGAGTTGGAGACCGTCCTGGGCTACAAAATGAGCTCAAGATCAGCCTGAACTGCATAGTAAGACCCTGATTTAAAAAGACAAAAAATAATTTTTTAAAAAAGAGAAAGTTAGGGCTGGAGAGATGGCTCAGTAGAATAAGCGCTTGCCTGGCAGGTGCAAGGGTCCGAGTTCAATCCCTGGTTCCTCAAAAAGAGAGAGAGCGAGAGAGAGAGAGAGAGAGAGAGAGAGAGAGAGAGAGAGAGAGAGAAGGTCTTGTGGTGTTATTCAGACTGGCCTCAAAACTCACTGTGGTCTTCCTGCCTCAGCTTCCCGAGTGCTAGGATTCCAGGCTCATCCCATCATGCCCAACCTCCCTACTTTTAGCACTACACAAGGCTAGCACATTTGCTAGACTTTAGTGTTTGTATGCATCAAAAATAAACAAAATAAAAATAAAAAGGTTCCGTGAGATCCTCCCACACCCAATTCACAAGCAGATCCTGCTCCTCAGAAAGGGTGTTAACCTCAGGGACCAGAGCAGGCTGAAAAGGATAGCTGGGCTTCTCTCAGGTGAGTATGGAGTCTGCAGTTCCAGAAGAAGGACACCCTGGGTGAGGACAGACGCATTGGCGCTCGCTGTGTGCCTGTACCGCCAAGACGGGCCGTCCCAGCGTGGGCTCAGCGGCTCACACCGCCAGGAGGTGCCCGTGCTGCGGAGCGCTGCTAGGACCATGGTGTCCTGGCAAGCTGTGGGCAGGCGCCCTGAGCTGTCCTGGGTATGTGTGTGTGTGTATCTGAGTCCACATTTTTTTTCTTTCCTTCCTTTATTTTTTCCCCCTATGGCACTGGAGGTGGAACCCAGGGGCCTTGTGCATGCTAAGCCAGTGCTCTTCCACTGAGCTACACCCCAGCCCCCGGATTTCTTCCTTGTATAAGGACATCAGTCATACTGGGTTAGGGGCCCACGGTAATGATTCTCTTCACTGACTGCATCTGCCATGACCCTATTTCTATGGCAGGTCACATTCTGAAGTCCTAGGGAGTGACACATGAATGGGAGACTCACACGCGTACATACACTTAGGCTAATAACTGGAGCTATTTGTGCTGTTTTGTTTTGTTTTGTTTTGTTTGAGACAGGGTCTTGCTATTTAGTTGAGGCTGGCCTTGAACTCACTGTGTAGCCCATGCTGGCCTTGAACTTGCTGCAGTCCTCCTGCTTCAGCCTCCTGAGTGCTGGGATCACAGGTGTCCACCACCATGCCTGGCACTGCAGCCCAAAACTAGTAATGTTATAGCAAAAACACAGCTTTCTAGGGTTCTCAAGGTCCTCTCTTATGATCAGCATGGCTCTGTTCCCCAGCTCTAGGCTGATGGGTGCCCCAGGAAGTTGTCTTGTTTGAGCCAGGCCTTTACTCCTAGCTACTTGGAAGGGGAAGGCGGGACAATTTCAGATTTGAGGCCAGTTTGAGCAATGTAGCAAAACCCTAAATTGAAAAAAAATAATTTTTTTTTCTTTTAAGAAAGGGTTTATGGGCTAGGGATATAGCTCAGGGGCACAGCGCCTGTCTGGCAAGTGCAAGGTCCTGAGTTTGATTCCTGGTACCAACAAAAAAAGAAGAAAAAAGGGTTGATGATGTAGCTCAGTGCCACACACACGGAAGAAAAGAAAGAAGGCTGATCGGAAGGTTGGTGATACAGATCGTGCAGCGTGGTATTTCCTGTGCCTGATCTCAGCCCTTCCATTCTCATTAGTGTGTTTGGGCCTCTTGGGCGACTCCAAGGTCGCGAGGTTCTAGTGTCATTTCTGAAAGCTTTGTCATTCTTTCTGGGATGCATCTGGAGCTGGCCTGTGTGTGCTGTGTGAGGAGGCAAAGGTCAAGAAGCCTTTTTTGTTTTGCATTTGGAGATTTAGTCAACCCAGAACTGCTTCTTGAAACTCTCATACATTCTCCATTTTCTCTTTCTTTCTTTCTTTCTTTCTTTCTTTCTTTCTTTCTTTCTTTCTTTCTTTCTTTCTTTCTTGGGGGGCCTGCCCCTTAGCTCAGTTCTTTAAATGGCTGCTGCAACAAAGCAGTCAGGCTCAGGTTGCTGTGGTTTGATCCCCACAACTCAAGCCAGCCAAACCTGCCCTGAAGGCATTCGGAGAAAAAAAAAAATCCTTCTTTCTTTAATGTATTTAGTATAGGGTCTCACTATGTAGATAAGACTCGTAGTGATCTTCCTGTTTTCAGCCTCCCAAGTGCTGGGATTACAGGTGTGCGCCTCCACACCCAGTCTGTCACTGTTTCAGTGAGCCCCGGGGATGGGGCTGGCACTGCGCGCTAGGGATCAAACCCTGGTTGCTGTTCTGCCTAAGCAGGTGCTTTAGTCCCCTGAGCTATCTGGCTGGCCCCTCCATTTTCTTTGTATAAAGTTTTCCTTTGGGCATTTACTGCTGGTCAGGCCTTGGGAGGTACACAAGTAGGTAAAACAAACTATTTCTTCCTAGTGAGTATGTTCCAGGGAGATAAATGGCTACCAAGAGAAAAAATATATCCAGGATACCAGACATTGAGATGAAAAAATAAAGTGGAGAAATGGGACATGCAGGGTGAATGTCCCTCTTCTGAAACACTGGGGACAGAAGCTAATTTGACACAACGCAGGACGCCTGCAACTTGTCCCACGAGGTCTGGTGTGGGGCCTGCAACTCCCCAGTGACATCATATCAGTGTTCAGTAGGTGCCAGCTTTTGGAGCATTCTGGATTTCAGATTTTTAGATTAGGAATGCTCAACTTGTGCCAGAGTTATTTAACCAGTCTTCTGTCACAGGTCGCTTGGGGCTGTGTCCAGTCTGTTTTGTTTGTAATGTTCTGGAGATTGAACTCAGGGCCTTCGCACTGAGCGACATACCCTGTTATTTATTTATTTATTTTTGAGCCAGGGTCTTGCTAAACTGCCCGAGTTGGATTTCAACTTCGATCTTCCTGTCTCAGACACCTAGAATACTAGGATTACAGGTTTTTTTTTTTCCTTTCTCTTTTTTAAGACAGGGTCTCATTATGTAATTCAGGCTGGCTTTGACCTCACTATAGCCTAGGCTGGTTTGAACTCACAGCAATCTTCCTGCCTCAGCCTCCTGAGTGCTGAATTACAGGCACACACCACCATGCCAGTGCTCATTAGCTTTTTTTTTTTTTAAGTGAGTTTATGCCTTGTTTCCCTAAAAGATGATTTGCTTCCTAGAGCACTTAGTAAAGTGCAGTGGAAGGGGTGCTCATCAGCAGCTCAGCTTCATGTCGAGGTTCGGGGCAGAGGTGAGGACTGGGGGGTCCTCTTCCGTGGAAGGGACTCCCAGCTGGAGCTGACCCCCCAGCATGCTCGCGGCACGAAGGCTTCTCCCCAGCCCACGCAGACATTGCTGCCGTCTGACCACATGCCCACAGCGACTTATCTCTTCCCTGAGGTAGCCACTAAGAATGCCCAGGCCACCCGGCGGTGCCAGCTGTACGTCCCCTATGGGGATGGCAAAGGGGACAGAATGGACATCTACTTCCCTGACACGGAGTCGGAAGGTGAGCTGGGGCGCACCGGCAGCCCAGGGTAGAGTCCGCCCAGCGCCTGCTAACGCAGCGCTCTTTGTCTTCCAGCCCTGCCCTTCTTCCTGTTTTTCCACGGAGGGTACTGGCAGAGTGGAAGGTAAGCTGCGAGTTTGGATGGATGGCTCCAGGAAGACTCGTCTCTCAGTGTCCCATTAATATCGTGGGGGGAGGGGGACGTCCAGCGAAGGCTTAGGATTCTCTCGCAATACTGGAGGCTGAAAGTCAGAAATCGGGATCTCCGGAGACTGTCGGGTCGATCCTCCTGCCTCTGCCAGCTTGCGGGGCACCCAGATGCTCTTGGCTGTGGCGTTGTTGCTGCAGTCTTGGCCTCCACCTCATGATCTTTTGCGGTGTGTCTGCCTCAAATCTCCCTCCCCTTTTCCTTATCCAGCCAGTTAGTGGATTTGGGACCCAGTCTAATCCAGGGTGAGCAGAGCTCAAGACCCCCAATTCTGTTTGCATACATCCTGTTTCCACCTAAGAACACTCTCATATCCTCTGGGGGGAACCCAGTTCAGCCTGCTATACCCAGTAAGATGTGTGCTGGGTTGGCCCTATCATCAAAGGAAAACTAAAGTGACTCTTTGGTCTAGTTTGCTTGGGACAGGAACTTGGAGTTTTGGTGTTTAAAACTAGAAAGGGACAGTCCTAGGCAGCCAGCATGCTGGTCAGTTTATCATTATTTTTTTAAATTTATTTGTTTATTTTGGTGGTATCAGGGATGGAACTCAGGACCTTGCGCTTGCCAGGCAAGCACTTATTCCACTGAGCCATCTCCCTGACCCCCGTGTTGGTCATTTTAAACATCAGAAGAGGGTATTCCCATGCAAAGCCCTCCGCTTCATGTCTCCAGTTCTCCAAACAGCTTGCTAGCAGGAACAAAACTGTTCCCACATTATACATGCGGGACAAAGTCTCAGAGGTTAAAGCCCCAGGCTCTCAAGGGTTGCATAAGGACAAAGCATAGGACACATGCCACAAGGCATGTCCAGGATGTGGGAGGAACAGTGTCACAAGCAAGTTGCATCTAAGTGTCACCTCTTTTGTCTCTCTGCAGTAAAGATCAGTCGGCCTTCATGGTCAACCCGTTGACAACACGGGGAGTGGCTGTGGCTGTAGTGGATTATGACGTGGCCCCCAAAGGTGACAAGGGTAGTCCCTACAGGTTCAAGGGCGTCGTGGGGATCAAGGCCCTCATGGGTCCTGACCTGGCCTGTGCTCTCTGTTTAGGGACCCTGGACCACATGGTAGACCAGGTGACCCGAAGCATAGTGTTCATCCAGCAGCAGTATCCACGCAATGAGTGAGTGTCACTGCAGACCTTGGTGGACCGCCTGGGTGGGACGACTGAGGGGAAAGCACAGAGCTGACTACGTCTGCTCCTCTCAGGGGGATCTACTTGTGTGGACACTCTGCCGGAGCCCACCTGGCCAGCATGATGTTCCTGGCCAACTGGACCAAGCACGGCGGAGTGCCCAACCTCAGAGGTAATGTGGGGATGGCAGGTTTGGGCCAGCTGCTTGAAGTCCTGAGTGGCTTCACTTGGAGGTCGCCTCTGAATCATGGGACACCGCCTTTCTTCCCTCCTCCCAACCCTGGTCCTGTTCCCCTGGCCTGGAGGGTAGGCTTGGCCCCTCCTGGTCCACCAGACACCTGTGCTCCGAACCTTCACAGGCTTTTTCCTGGTAAGTGGGCTGTACGACCTGGAACCTATCGTGTCCACCTCAAACAACGCCCTACTCCTCATGACCCTGTGAGTTGCCTGCTCTGTACTCCTCTCCTCCCAGCCTTGAGTCTGGCATCCCTCCGTCCTGACCTCTGTCCTACCCGGCCCCAGGGAGGATGCGTGGAGGAACAGCCCACAGTGGCACCTGGACACAGCCCCGGCATGGCCTGCAGATCTAGCCTGCCCCATCCTGGTGATGGTGGGTGAGCACGAATCCCCGGAGTTCCACCGACAGTCTTGGGAGTTCTGCCAGGTACTTCCAGCAGCTGCTCTACGGCTGGGGGTCAAGGGTCATGCAACCCCATCTTGGTTGTCATTTCCCCAAGATTGTCAGTCATGTATTCAACAAAGGCAGGATGAGTGCCTGCCACGTATGTGACAGCCAGGCAGGGGCCAGGGGCCACCTTCCTCCCTGCGCCTCAGTAACCCCCCAGCCTTCCTCTCTCCCACCTAGACCCTGTGCCGAGCAGGATGGGAAGCCTCATTTAAAAAACTGCCTGATATGGATCACTTTAGTATCATTGAGAATCTGACCAAGAAGGACTCCGTGGTCACCCAGGTACAACGCCTGCCCCTTGAGTGGCTTGGGTCCTGTCCTTCTCCCCTCACACACGGGAGAGGGAGGCAGGGACAGAGGTAGGAGCCACCTCGCCTGCTCTCCACCTGTTCACGTGAGGCTGCTTGGGGCGCTGGGTGGGATTCACTTTAGGCCTTAGGAGGGTGAAAGAAGCGAGTCTAAGCTTTTAAGACAAAAAAGCCAAATCCAGGCTGGCCCTGGTGGTGCACGCCTGCAATCTCAGAAGACCGCCCCGAACTCACTGTGTAGCCCAGGCCAGCCTAGAATTGGCAGTGATCCTCCTGCTGCAGCCTCCCCGGTGCTGGGGTCGCAGGCATGCATCACCACTCCCGGCTTTATCCCAGCACGTGGGAACCCATGGAAACAGTTGCCTAGGGGACCTGGGGGGCGGGGGGTGAAACCCAGCTCCACTGGGGAAGGGATAGATGAATTTGGCAACATAAATGCTCATTTTTTAACTGCAGAAGAAACATGTGTCCATGTGCTCTGGTCAGCTCCTGTGGAAGCTGTTCCTGTGTCTTCCTTTCTTGCTGCAGATCGTGGTGCAAACAATCTTCCGAGAACTCTGATGCTGCGCTCTGGCCCCTGAGCACCCACACTGCAAGCCGTCCAAGCCCGAGATGACCGCCTGCCCCAGGATTGAGCCGTTCTTCCTGCTGCTGTGAGCACCGCCCAGAATCTACCGGTCTGGGAGCTCCAGGGAAAGTCTGCAGGGCCGCACTGGGAGATGCGGTGGCCCTGCCAGAGCCCCTTCTGGATGCTCTGCCTGCTGACAGGTGTGGCAGAAAGATCACCTCCAACATGCTCTTTTCCTGTGACCTGATCGGGTTACCGGTAGCTCAGGGGCAGAGCACCTGCTCAGTGTGCATGGTTTAATTCCTGGGCCTTCTACCAGCCGCACAAAAAAGAAACCCAGTGGGCTGGTGAGATGGCTCAGTGGTCTAAAGCACCTACTTAGAACAAGTTTAGCAAAGCACAGAGACCTCGGTTCAATCCCCCAGCACCACATGCCAGCCATCCCTGCCCCCTGGTGGGCTGAGCTGGTCACACACATAGAGACACAGACACACACACATAAATAAATAAAATAAAATAAAAAAAAAAGAAACCCAGAGTCTATAGGAAGAGCCCACACGCATGCCCAGAACGATCTCAGGCCTCCATTGCTGTAACAGTTCACCAGACCTGCAAACTCCTGCCTGGAGCTCCCTAACCAGTGGTCTTTGTTTTAGAAATGGTTGCGTTAGATGTTATGGTTTAGATCTAAAATGTTTCCTCAAAGCCTCCTAAGTTTAAAGATAATTTGGATTCACCCAGTGGCAATTTCAGTGGCTACATATATGGTGAAGAGTCATGGCCCGGTTGGAGATGGTCCTCGGGGGCATGACCTACAAGAGTGTGTTCTGTTTTGTTTTGGCTTTATGAGACAGGATCTTGCTATGGAGTTTAAACTGGCCTTGAATTGCATAACCTAGCCCAGGTTGGCCTTGAATTCATAGCAATCCTGCCTGAGCCTCCTGAGAGCTGGGATTTCAGACGTAGGTCACTGTGCTCATCCCTAGCTCCTTTCTCTCAGTTTCCTGGATGCCATGGGGTGGGTAGGGTTCCTCTACCCTTCCACCATGCCATTTTGGCCCAGTCTCAGTCACTGTCTCAGCATGCCCAGGGGTGGGGCCGTCACAGCACAGAAGGGATGGAACCCAGCTGCTGTGCTCTGCCTAAGCAGGCTCTTTAGTCTGTTGAACTATCTGGCCTTTCCACTGGATTACATAGTGAGTACAAATCCAGCATAAACTACAACATAGTGAGACCTTATCTCAAGAGATGAAAGATAGAAAAAGAAAAAAAAAAAATCTCAAAGCTCTCCAAACACACAGAAATTAGAATATTATGGGTCTGTCTTCAATCTACTCTAGATAGTTTTTGTTTTCAGGGAAGTGCTTATTCCACTGAGCCATCTCCCTGGCCCCTTAGTTTTTGTTTTCAAAGCCCAAACTGTCCTTGAACTCATAACAAATGTGCCTCAGCCTCCTGAGTTCTGGGATTACAGCACAGGCATGGGCCACCAAATTGGCAAAAAGACAAATGCTCCTTTTTTGTCTTTTTGAGACAAGGTCTCACTATGCAGCTCAGGCTGGCCTTGAGCTCACTTTGTAGCCCAGGATGGCCTTGAATTCTCAGCAATCCTCCCTCAGCCTCCTAAGTGCTGGGATTACAGGCCTCTACTACCATGTGTAACTTGTGATAGGTTCTTAACTGTGTACCCCAGGCTGGCCTCAAACTCGACATTCTCCTGCCTCGGCCTTTGGGATGCTGGGATTATGCTGTGCACCATCACTCCCTGTAAATTTCTTGAGTTTGATGATTTCACTGTGGTTATGAAATGCAGTATTAAGGCTGGAGAGATGGCTCAGAGGCTTAAGTGCCTGCCTGGCAAGTGCAAGGTCCTGAGTTTGATCTCCAGTACTGCCAAAAGGAAAAAAAAAAAAAAATGGGACCAGGAGATAGCTCAGCAGTCTAAAGCACCTGTTTAGGCAAGTGGTTCTATCCCCGCCACCACATGCTGTGCCAGCCCCGCCCCCAGGGTGGGCTGAGCTGGCCACAAAAAAAAAAAAAGGAAAGTATTTTGTGTTAATTATTGAAACTGTCCTACCAACTTGGTTTGAAACTGTCTCATTGCTATTTGTTTCTCAATAAAATTATGGGGGGAAAAAAAGAAGTCAGCCAATAACAAATGCTAGAGAGGCTGTGGAGAAAAATGAACCCTTCTGCACTGTCGGTGGGAGTGCAGACTGGTACAATCACTACGGAAATCAGTGCGGAGATTCCTTTAAAAAGGAACTGGAGATCCCATTCGAGTCAGCTATTCCCCTCCTGGGTACTCTTCTAGAAGAACTGAAAACCTCATATCACAGCGATATATGTGCACCTGTGTTTATAGCAGTGTAATTTGTCATAGCTAAATCCTGGAAACAACCCAGATGTCCATCAACTGAAGAATGAATAAAGAAGATGTGGTATTTAAAAAAA